AAAAATGTTTACTGGAAATTACCCATAGGACTCTGCCTGCAAAAGAAGTACATTCAGAAAAATTAGTTTAGGGCCACAGAGCCCCTTAGAGGTGTTTTTCTGTCACTCTTTACTGAAATCTAATAATATTTTTGTGGTTTAAACATGGTGGACTTTTTTTTCTTCATTGGGAAAGTCAGGACAGCAATAAAGAATGTGAATAGAAATACTTTGGCGCATATCACAGCATAGAAAACAGGAATTCATGTATGTATGTATGTATGTATGTATGTATGTATGTATGTATGTATTTCTGAATCTAAATGAATATAACCAATTTCATTGTATTTATTTTGTGCAATGACAATAAAGACTGTACTATATTATAAAAAATATAGTTTTGCATAAAGAATGTTAGAAAGGTTATAATGTAGAAATAAACATGGGAAATTAGAATCAAGCAAGCCATTCCTATCAGCTACATTAGAACACAGCATAATGTAGGCTTGCTTATAATAGATTTAGATCATCACTTAAAATAAATTATTTTGTCTGGAAAGACATTGGAAGCAGATCAGAGCTGGTTCTTTACTTCTGGTTCGCTCGTGCACACACTTTGTATGTCTGCACACATGCACAGTTCAATTAAAATTGTTCTGCGCATGCACAGAACTCAAAAACAAGATGGTGGCGGCAGTGACCGGGAAACCGATTTGGGGGCGTGGCAGGCCTGGGCCACTGATGGTTCCAGCAACTCAGGCCACCATACCACTACAGGTTCGGCCGAACCGGTAGTAATTCACCACTGAAGCAGATTCTTGTCAGAAGCCCTCTGGAAAGGAAGCTCACAATAAGAGATTGCATCGTAAAAGGCATGTTTTGTGGCTGTCCCTTGTCCCCAGCTCAGTTTGTCTTAATTGGTGATTGAAAAGCATAGGAATTATGAAGATCAAGTGTTTAATACCACGGCCCTACTCCATTCATTCATGAAGCTCTCTGGATATTTTTCTAGACTTTATTTTCTCCTTCCTCTATTACACTATGA